TATTAACAAAAAGCATATGAAAAGCAAATATGATTTGTGTGACTATGTTCCCACCAGAATCCGGTGTAGCTATAGAAAGAAATAAACGAATATATTTTTTCAGATAGTATTTCTATACCATCCAACTGTGAACGTTCATTATCGAAGCTACCATGAACAAAATAATAAACAGGATAAACTATAGCACGAAAAATATTTCGATGAAACTCCATAGCCGAAAATAAATATAACGATGACGATAATGAATAAAATAAGATCATTGGTCTACAACGACGGATGAGACGATACAAAATCATAATACTACAGCCAACCTACCATTTTTCGAATCATCACAATTTTAGGACCAAGATTTGGAGCAATACCCATAAATAAAACCGAACGAATAAACGATAGTTCTAATTCTAAAGCCATCACTATTCTACAAAAAAACATACTTTGAATATTAAATTAATCATAAAGTCTACCGTGCAGATAGAAAACCCTGGCTATCTTTTTGTGTAAAACGAAGTGCAAGTCCAATATAGAACAGAAGATATACTGATAGAACCAGAAATAAATTCGATATTCGATTATTCAAATCAAAATATGATCGAATCTTGCCAATTAACGACCGATTATATTGAGACAATGGAAAGAATGCAAAAAGCATATAATAACTGAAGAAAAGTAGAAAAAGAACATAACCAAACTAAAACGAAATATATGAGAAAGAATTCTATTAAACATAATTGAACTTACACAAGTATAGCAATATTTAACAATAGGTCGATTGTGAAAATGGAAAAAATGTTGAAATATCGTTTCATCAGCATCATAATCATCAGTGTAATCGATACTATTTTCTTTCAATCTACATTTTTTTAAATAGTTATTGTGTGTTTGTTTTATTGAATATGTACTGTCGTTTTGGACGTTCGTGTTTGATGATCTATCAATAAATAGACATACTACTCATTGCGCAGCTGCTCTTAACTTACATGACTTTCCCGCTTCACACTAACATAATCGGAAAAGTACTTCAAATAAATCGATATGAAAAATTGAGAAATTCCAAATGTAAGTATATTAACAACAAGACGTTTTCGTTCTTGAACATGATCAATTCTATCATACCATATATTCGTTAACAGAGCTTGACAAGCATCTTCATGTAAAAATCTTTTGTTATCTGCAGCAATGGCCATTTGAAGACATGTAACACCTCCATAGAGATTCGTGCATCGCATAATCAATTCACATGTTTTATGTCTACCATTAATATAAGCACATCGTACGAATTCGATAGCATAAGTTTCAAAATCATTCGCTTTAGCAAACAATGTATCTTTTGCAACTTGATCCGGTGCATAAGCTGCTAATGATTT